TTTGAAAATATATGATAAATTTAATCGTAAATCAAATAATAAAATCATCAAAATTAATAAATAAATATTATGTTTTTCAATCAACTATTTTGCAACAACGTTTTTACTGTTATTTATTTATTTTAACGGGTAATCTAATTTTTTTTTTATAATTTTTTTCATAGTTATATAAAAGATGAAATTGCAAACCCGCATTTATGTTGCAAAATAACTGATTGTTAAAAGTTAAAAATACATAGAATTGTTAAAACAATTTCTATTTTGAAAAAAAAAAAATCCAAAATAGCTTATATTTTGAAAGAGAGATAGTAGATATAGTAGATATATGTAACAATTATTTTTAACTAAAACCGTTCTGTTACGAAAACTTCTATTTCTTGTTTCATTACTCAGAATTTTATTTTGGTTTTTACGTTTTTATTGTTAATCCTAACCTGCAACAAAAACATTAAAATGGAAGAACAGAATTTCAACTCGAAACCTGAAACAACAACTCAACGGAAGAACACGCAAAAAAAGAAAATAAATCGAAACCCATAAAATCTTGTCCAAATTCTTTCAGATCAGAATAATCATAGAGGGAAAAAAAGAAAGAAACAGAGTGAACAATTCAAAATTTAGTAATGGAAGAGGCGAAGCAAACATTGATAGCATCATTGCCAGAAGCACCAAGAAAACCGAAGTCGAAAGTAGCGAGAGCGATGAGGAAAACATTCAAAGGAACAGCTCATCTGTCAAATCTGCTCCCGACCGGCTCGGTAATGGGTTTCCAAATAATGTGTCCGGTCTTAACCCATCAAGGTCAGTGTCCAACCATCACCAGTCGCTGGCTCACCTGTTTCCTCGTCTTCGTCTGCGCCGTCTCTTGCTTCCTTCTCTCTTTTACCGACTCCTTCAGAGACCAATGCGGCAAGGTATATATATTCATTTGATCCATCACTATCTGTGTATGACATTATCAATCATCACAAGTTCACCAAATTGTTGAATGAAAATATCAAACTTGATTTTGCAGGTCAGGTACGGATTGGCGACGCCGAGTGGGTTATGTGTGATGGATGGAACGATTACTCTAACGGAGGAGGAGAAGGAAAAGTATAAGCTCAGGTTTCTTGATTTCGTGCACGCAATCATGTCCATGCTTGTCTTCTTCGCTGTCTCCATGTTTGATCAGAACGTGATCCGTTGCTTATTCCCTGTTCCTTCCGAAGAAACCAAAGAGCTTCTTGTCGGTTTGCCTTTCATCATCGGGGTTGTTTGCGCCGGGTTTTTCCTCGTGTTCCCCACACGCCGCCACGGCATCGGATCTCCCCTCAGCAAAGAATAATTTCATACTATTACCACACAAATAAAAAAAGGCAGAAGCTTTTGTAAAGACAAGATTTTTGATCTTCAAATTTTGTTTTTGGAGGAAATGTACCAAATCTTTAAAGAATTACTCATAAAATTTTAACAACAGGAAATTAGACAGCCAATCTTTAAATATCTAAGAGGGAATAATTTCCCTATAAACTGTATATTACCAATCCGACTTGAATCGCACACATCACAAGACATAAGCTTTGATCCATCACCCAAGAAGCTTCTTGAAACCAGCCTTCTGTTCTGCCGTTAACCTCGCAGGAAACTTGATATTGAACTTGATCCTCAAGTTCCCTTTCTTTGTCTGATCTTTCTGAAGTGGCATTCCCTCTTTAGGCACCACCTCTTCATACTCTGGATGGATCACGTTTGTCACCGGAATTGTGAGTGTCCGACCATCAAGGGTGGTTAGGTTTACGGTGTATCCTGTTAAGGCATCAGCTAGTGAGATCTTCTGTGTGACAATCAGATCGTTGCCTTCACGGGTGAACACCGGATGGGGTTTCTCGTCGATGATGAAGACAAGATCTGCTGGAATCACACCCGGATGCTCGTTTCCTTTCTCCGGGAATGTAATCTTTGTGCCTTTCTTCCATCCAGGTTTTACTCCAATCGTTAGAATCTCTTCCATTTGCATTGCCTTGCTGCATTTTAACAGAAGAAAAAAGGACCATAAAGATTAGCTATTATCAAGACTACAACTAGGGCCAGCTCAAATCAAACAAGGAAAATTCAAAAGGAGCTTTGATCAATGCCTTTTAAATCCTTTTTGGAATGAAATCTATAACCTAAAAGCTTGAAACTTTGTAACAGAAATGTTCATAGTTTAGGAGGTTGTATCTTAAGATGCCATTCTTATGAGTGAGTAGTAGATCAAAATGGTATGTGAGTTTGATCACTTACCCACTGACATCAACAATCTCCCTGGAGATCTTCATCTTCTTGGTGGTTCCTTTATAGAGATCTTCAAGGCTACAAGGCAGCTTGTTCTCGATAGGAGCCACTTTCCTAGCTCCACCG